AACTATAAAAAAATAAAACGAATTTTTAAACCCCAAAAAGATATTCGTGTCCGGATTTTTCCGTGTTCAACCTTAAACCAAAATTTTATAAATTCTAATAGCGAATACGCAAAAAAAAAAACTAATATATACAGAGCAACTTTCCTTCTGTCTTCTGCTTGGCAGGGTTTCCAGACCATTCACTTAGAAAAAGAGTTAAATTTGTTTCAAAACTATGAATAACTCATAAAATATAAAGAAGAGAAACATACTTCCGAAGACAATACGACGTATTTGTATGGGTATGAGCATGAGCATGATTGACCGTTCACGGTTGCTGAAATTTCACAGAGAACATGCAGATGGTGTTTGGGACCGAGGGGGGCGACACATCTAAATCTCAATTCCGGCTTATGGCCATGCGAGTCGTGAGTGCGTACAGAACCATTTCGACGGAGGCAGTATGCGTTATCGCTGGTATGATCCCAATCGGTTTCACCTTGGCTGGAGGACTACATGTGATCTTCGACTGTCCAAGGTTCGAGGCAGTGCAAGGGAGATGTCCGCCCTTAACGTGAAGAATGTCGTCGATGAAATGTGTCGAGAGGAGAGCACTTGAAATGCCGTCAGCAGGGCAGTCGCTCAAAAACTGTCGTAGCTGCAGCGAAAATGCGGAAAGGAGCAGCGATTTAGCAACGTCAGCTATTGCTGAAAGTATGAGAAGTGCATGAGCACACCCGCATAAACGCGAATCATAATTTGATCTTACCGAAAATGGTTAAAAATTGTTTATAATCTCTGCTAAACTTTAATTGAAATGGTTATTTAACTTTACATGAACGTTTGTTAGATAAAGAGATACTTTATGGTTTATGTTTTATGAACTTTAATGGTAATGGTTATGGTAGTCAGTGAGGTCTATGGATGTTTTTGTATTATCGGTCAACTTAACGTAGAATTTATCGCAAATTGGTAATCATTAATTTACAGGCAATCAATTCGCAATATATTCCACATAAAGTTTATCGATGTTACCAACACAATTCATGGACCTTAGAGACTTCCATTACCATTACCATCAATGTTATACAATCTAAAAAATAAAATGGTTCCGATATAATTCCTTTTCGAAAATGTATGGAGAAAACAAGAATGTGGAATGATAATTGTTCTTAACAACCCATTATATTTAAGGACCACTTCCTAAAAAACATAAAACAAAAGGTTAAAACTTTTTCACACAAACGTTCATGTAAAGTTTCAAACCCATTTCAATTAATGTTTAGCAGGTATTATAAACAATTTTTAACCATTAAAAGTAAGGTCAAGTAATGGTTCTAGCGGCACCTCTTCTTGATTACCTCTCACCCCAGCAGGCCTGGATTCAATCCCAGTCGGCGTCGCCGGTATGTTCTGAGGCATGAAATCCCTGATCGCGCCATCCTTCGGAAGGGAAGTAATGCCGTTGGTCCCCGGTTCATGAGTTGATGGGTCGATAGGTAGGGTCCTGGTGTGGGAGATGCCTCCCTGGTGTCGGTAGCATTGATGCTCAGCACGGAAAATAGAATCGACGAAAACAAATCAAGGAAGAAAAACGGTTGCAGTTCACTTTGCGCACACACTTTCGCGACATTTATTCCACTCAGAAAACAACGGTCAACCTGGTCAAGCATTTTTATAAATTAAAAATTTATGGTGCCCGTGCCACTACCACCCGTGACGAACACATTTTTAATACTTTCGACGGAGAAAACAAACGCCACGTTCGTTAACGCGCACCGCTTAAGGCCGGCGCACAATAGATACGTTTTCGGGTTTTTTGACAGATAATGCATGGGCTAACTGTCCATGAAAACCAAACCTGAAAACGTATCTATTGTGCGCCGGCCTTTACTTCGATCGACAATACGACGTATTTGTATGATACAAAAAAGTTTCAAGAACATGTAAATGATATGAAATCGCTACCACATATGTTACTGACAAAACATTGATTTTTAGAAGTCTCCATTAAAAAAACCTTACATATCTCTAAAACTGTAAAAGATAGAATACACGAAACGAAAATCAATTATTTTATTCATGTGTTTCACTTATACATTTTTTTTTCTTTATTAGAGAGATTTTTAGCCATAGGCTAGTTCATTTCTTAAAACTTATACATTTTTGCCAAATACATTCCTTATACATTCCATTAGACGAACCGCATAGGTCCTATAAGAATGCATAAAAGGTATGTGTGACCGCTTATACATTTCATTTGTCACATGATCTTCATTAACTTTTTGCAAGGCGTCTGCTTATTAGTTGACTTATACATTTTATGAATAATCAGTAATAGAAATTTGCTAAAAGGTATAAAGAGATTTCTATCCGTGTAGAGTCTTGAACAGGAGGAACGACACTTCAGGATTATCCCATTTTTACCAAAATCTCTCATAAAATTTTCAACGTGCACAAAATTGCAATCCATCCTATTGCGCGTTTCACACCAAATTGGAAAAATAAGCGCGTTTTCACTTATTAAAAAGTGTGATAAAACTGTAAGTTTACGTCTAATTGTCTTGATGTCTTCGGTGCACTTATTCCTTATGATGCAAGCAATAAGTGCTCCGAAGACATCAAAACGATTTGAAGGAAACGTGCACTTTTATCACACTTTTTCCACTTTTGGGACAGTCCAGTTTCAGATGCAATCAGCAATATCTCTACAGTGAGCATGCATGAGGGCGAATGCGCGATGATCGATTCTCTTCATCGATTTTCTTCATCGATTCTCTTTATCGATTCTCTTCATCGATTCTCTTCATCGATTCTCTCCATCGATTATTTTCATCAATTCTCTTCATCGATTCTCTTCATCGATTCTCTTCATCGATTCTCTTCATCGATTCTCTTCATCGATTCTCTTCATAGATTCTCTTCATCGATTCTCTTCATCGATTCTCTTCATCTATTTTCTCTTTGCATTTCTACAGCTAAGCGAAACAATTTTCTAGAATTTGTTCAATGCAGAGTAGTAACAGGTTGTATTGGCTATCGAAAGCAACAGCAAACGCACCGAGAAACGTTAAATCTAGCGAGTTATTAACAAAAGAGAAAATGGAGGAAGAGAATCGATCATTGCCCTTATGCATGCTCACCCTTATAGGCCCTTATGCATGCTCACTGTCGTTCTATTCTTTCTATTCCCAACTTATCCCTTCTGCATGCACACAAATTGTCAAGCAAGCCGTGCTGTTTTCCGAAGTTTTCAAGTAGACCGCAAAGCACTCTGCCATACTCACTGTCAGTTTTCAACAATCTACACAACAAACACTACGTATGTCAGCTGGCCATAATCGATCACGGGGACAAAAATATCAAGTGCATCACGGAAAAGATGGCAACGCACATCCATTTCCCGGACTCAAACCGATCGAATTTGACGGATAAGAGCCCAGTTGTCCCTTTGTTGTAAGAATGTTGCCGAACAGGAAAAAAAAACTATTGATTTCGTTCGAACTGCTGATTCTAGCCCCGGGAAAAGCATCACCAATCAAACCCCCTACGACAAGCAGGTGGAAAAGGAATTCAGGTAATTTTTCTACTCGGCCCAAGTTGTACTCGTCGCTGCTGCTTGTCAAGGGTTCGGAGAAGAAAGAGCTAATGGTGAAGAAAGACACTCGCCGGCAGATGGAGTTTCTGTTCGAGAATATTGCGAATCAAATTCCCGTCCAAATACAGCTGGGAATATTAACCGGATCCTAGTAATCCATCGCCACCACCCGTTCCTCCTACAGTTTCAACCTATTCGGCTTTGATTAATATTGTTGGGCGGGGTCCATTAATTACGTTACGCTAAAAATAAATATTTTCGACCCGAGTGGAGGCGAACCAGCCCCAGGCTGAAAGCCTCCCTAATAAAGTTAAATGAATCAATTATTTTCGACCCCCCCCCCCTTGGAATAAAACGTAACACTGAAAATGATCCCCCTCTATTTATTTAATGACGCTAAAAAAGCCAACCCCACGACTCATTCAATTAATTTTTGATTTCGTTATTTCTTTTTTATTTCTAGGTAATTATTAATTATATTCTTAATATTCAAAATAAAAAACAAAAGATCAGCGTACCTGCTTTTCAAAAGTTTAAGGATAGCAAAAATCTCAAGATATTAAATTAAAATATACACATTTTGCAAGCAAGATTTAGTGATGAATTTTTTTTACCTGTATTTTCAAACTTTACATCGAAGCTTTACTCCTTCTCCCCTATGCACTAATTCTCCCCCTATAAGCGTTACGTAATTTATGGACGCAAATTTGTATCTTCTTTTTACACCTATCCTCTTCGACTCGTATCCCTCTGAAATTTTTTTAACACCCTTCACATCACATCCATTCCCCATTCTCATCTACTTTTTCTATCCCTGCTCTATTTTCGCCAACACGACACACTCAAAAATCCCATCAGTTATGCTTTCCCCCGAAACTTCCAAGTAATTACTAGGCTGAAAAAATACATTCAAATGAGTGTAGTTTCCTTGTTTAAATATTATCTAAAACTTTTCCACAGACATCATTTTTCTATCTCGACTTTAAAAAAATGATTTTCTATCTTACTTCTAGGTGGATTTATCATAAAAAGTTATGGTCAAAAGAACGCGCTTACCATTAACACAAACCTCTTCGAAGACACGTATGTCTAAAATAATCCGTTTTCGCGTAAATAATAAAACGTATGTTTTAGCACTTTTAAAGTACTGTGCAACGCAAAACATCTTTTAAGAAGACCACAACTTGGTTGGATACAATACCAGGGCGTTATTAATTTATTCCTGCTAGATTTAAATCCTGGCTCACTGTGTATTGAACATAAATTAATAAAACACATTTATTACAAATAGGTCTATTGATTCAATTCCATTGGATTTTATTTATTGATTGAAGCTTATGGACAAGGGAGTGGCTAATATTGTAAATCTATTTTTTTAAACCTCGGATGTGACTTTATTGCATTTTTTTTTCAAATATCCAAATTAATTCAAGTTGCACTTAGCAATGTTTGGATCTACACAGTGTTGACTCTGTGAACTGTAATGGGTACCATCTGGGCAATCAAGTAGACAGGCAAATCCATTCAAGCACTTGTAGAACCGATCGCACTGCTTCTGATACGGGAGGCTAAGAGTAGTATTGAAATTCTGTGAACAGTAGCTATTCTCTACACAAGGATGAAGGTCTTGTCTTTGCCGACACGGAATACAGGGGCAAGTAGGGCAATCATCTTCAGGAGGAATCGTTGGATCACATCCGGCACGATTCGGCCACTCGCATCGGTTATGCGAAATGCTCCAGTGGAGGCCACCAGGACAATCCTTTACGCATCCATGCTGACTACTGATGCAACTGACGAATTTTGTGCAATCATTCGGATATGGTAACAATATGGGATCTCTATAGAACTCAAACAGCATGCACCTATCATCGAACGGGCACCCAACGTCCGCGGGTGGTTCATCAGGAATACCACCTCCAGCACAATCACCATTTGCTGGCCATTCACAACGACTCATGGCACTGCTCCAATGCAGCCCTGGTGGACACTGCATTTCACATGCATATCCGTGGGTACATTTAAGGAACTTTTCGCAATCATCAGGATGTGGTAGAAAAACGGGATTACATTCAAGGCAAGGGTCGATCGGACATCTGTCATCAGGCTTGCAAATGCCTGGAGGACATATTGGGCATGGAGGAGGAGTACCGGGTGGTTGGGTGGTAGGAGGTTGTGTAGTGGGTGGTTGAGTGATAGGAGGTTGTGTAGTGGGTGGTTGAGTGATAGGAGGTTGTGTAGTGGGTGGTTGAGTGATAGGAGGTTGTGTAGTGGGTGGTTGAGTGATAGGAGGTTGTGTAGTGGGTGGTTGAGTGATGGGAGGTTGTGTAGTGGGTGGTTGAGTGATGGGTGGTTGAGTGGTGGGTGGTTGAGTGATGGGTGGTTGAGTGGTGGGTGGTTGAGTGATAGGTGGTTGAGTGGTGGGTGGTTGAGTGATGGGTGGTTGAGTGGTGGGTGGTTGAGTGATGGGTGGTTGTGTGATAGGAGGTTGTGTAGTGGGTGGTTGAGTGATAGGAGGTTCCGTAGTAGGTAGTTCAGTGGCATCCTGAAATTATATAAAACATTGAAACCAAGTTACGTATTGCAACATAAAATTAAAATAGCTCAGTGATATTAGGACTTGCACATAAGACCCAGTTTAATTCATCGATCAGTGGACATTTCAATTTTCTGGGTCAGTTTTAGGTCAAGGTATATAGAATGCACAAATAGCCGTTATTCCCAAGTAAAATTGCAGGTTTTATCGCGGTTTTATAGCATTCTACAAGTCTAAATCATGGTCTACAGAACCCTCATAAAACCACAATTGTTACTTGGGTTATGGCCATTTTACCATGCCACTTCGAATTTTTGTAGCAGGAATCTTAGAAACTACAAAGATTTCGTGTACGAAATGACGATAACGTACCGTAAAACGGGAGCGAATTGATCACTTTTTGCTGATAAACCTGAATATTTTCCAACCATATGTTTGACACACTAAATACCACCCAAACATGTACTAGTACTTAGTAATGTTTTTTATGTACGAATCAAGTTTTACATAAATTGCATGGTTGGTTTTAATTTTTTGAATTAAAATTTGATTAAAATGTCAAATTTTCAATTTCGGGGTAAAGTTGGTCATGCAGGTTTTTAGGCAATGCAAATATAAAGAAGTTAGTATTTATACCTGACTTGTATTCGATGAATCCAGTGTAAACCCTTAATTAAAAGCTGTGCATACGTTTTTGCAAAATAGGTAAATATATGCTTAAATGTAGGAACATAATATAAGTTTTAAACATAACATAAAATTAAGTAAAATAAGTTATATCACCAAACATAGCACCACAATAAATGCTGATTGTGATAGTAAATTTAGGAACAGTTAAAAGTTGCATATCACATCACTTCCACAAAATTGTACATTGAAAGTGGTAGAATAGATTGTTTTGTAGGGGAGGGGGGAGGAGTTCAAAAGTACTATTTTAAACTACAAATTATCTTATAATAATATTAATCGGTCCAAAGCTACTGCTTCATCAAACGTAAACAAACGTTTAACGTATGTTTACTTTTCATGAAGCACCATCTTTGGTCCACCTCCCCTTGTGGCGTGTTTATCTACTTTCAGAAAATTCCATTTCTGCATAGTTGCATCCAAATGTACACACTAAAAAAATCTGAATTTTACTGGTGATGTAAACATCCATGCATGCAAACATTCATGCATGTAAACTTCCTTTTCACGTAAACTAGCAGCTTGCAAGAAATGTTGCAAACAAAGGTGGAAAGTTGCATACAATATATGGAATATTGCATGACATGTCTCATAAATTTACACGATTTATAATGTAAATTTGTATGATTTATGACGCTCTATTTATATGCATCATAGTAACGGAAATTTACACTACTGAGCGGTTCCACGAACAAGTGGGAAATTTTTCCAGTTTTTATTTTTTGTATTTTTTGATTTGCATGAAACCTTGCATACAAGTTTATGGGGAAGAAAAACGCCGTTTTGCATACTTGGTTCGCCATTTTGAATCTAGCCTTACTTATGAGAAGGGCCTATGAAAAATGCACATGATATCTTCAAAAAATTTTATCTCGGAAACGGTTTGTCCGATTGGTTTGGTGTCTTGGGCGAAGTTTTAGACAATTGTTGGTGTTATATGGAAAAAATATGCACGGTAAAAAAAAAGTTTGGTATTTGTGTTTTGAACTAAAATATAAATTTTCCCTTTAAAGTGACATGTCAATAATTTTTTTATTATCCTTATGTTATAGCTGACTGAAAATGCTATCTAGTGTACAGTAGGTTGTTCTGGAGAAAAATAGATTACGATGAAAAAAATTGTTTTTTTAAAAAATACAATTTTCAAAAAAGCTATTAAAAAAAGTCAAAAAAGTTTGTCACCCTAATTTTATGAAAGTACATCAAATTTGCAAACAAAAAGTACTTCGGTAACATTTTTCTAAGATGCACCGTTTAGAAGATATTACTGATTTAATATTGTTTTTTTTTGATAACTTAATAAGTTTTGGCCCTTTTCGGATGTACTCCGTGTTTTTCCAGTTTCAAAAGTATTTTTTTCGGAAAGATTAGAAAATTTTGAGTTAAAATGACACTCACAGCTTAAAGATTCGAGTGAAATTTTCTGCCTTAAAAGTATTTTGAAAAACAAGTTACAAAATCCCACTATCAGGAACAATGATTTCTTCAAATGATTTTTGGTGCGTTGTGCTGAAAACGTGCTAACAAGTATTAGATACAGGTAATCAGATACCAGTTAGCTGTACTACGTACAGTTGGTGATTGTAAACATGGTCTTTGTTGGAACTAGTCCACCATGGCCATGCTGGCCATAACGAGGCTAGCTCCGTCGTTGACCGTTCCTTAATAATAAATAAAAAGAACGCAGTAGTCACCTTCCATCAAACTAGAGGGCTGCCGACTGATACCTCAATCAACAACCGCCGCACTCTTTATTCATTCCAGGTATATACAATTTACAATCTTCTTCAATAACAATATACCTACGCCAGCAAATCTACCTCGCTCCAACTCTCCAAACTTCGTACCTGAAGGTTCGACGATACCTGAGCGTTCAACTCTACCTATCTTCCAACAGTCTTTACCCAGCATTCTATGATTTCTACGAGCTGTATAATAATGTCTGACTCGGTTCTGAATTCATCCACTATCTACTAGGGAAAACCAAACAGTAAATGCAGAAAGGTTGCTAGTAGCATAGTGATTATAGTAATTTCAGCTCATAATCCTGTGTTTTTGAACGAGATCCAGTGTTGTTTGATAACATAATAATTGTAAAGGAAAGTGTAACACGTTTTGGTGCAAATGTAAGTTTTAAATACACATTTTAATTATATGTTTTGTGATATTTTCGTACAAAACTAACAATTGGAAAATATTTTCTATGTTACAGATTACAAAATGAGTAAAATAAGATGTATTCGCCCATTCAAAGACATTCAGTGTTCGAAAGAGCTGCGATATCTCACGGATGGTATCATCCAAAAACTAAAATCAATTGGATTTTCCAAGGTATCCACACTGAACACCAAGGATTTTCGTGTTTGTTCGTCTTGCCGTCTACATTTTGATTCAAGAGCTCACCTCACCCAAAACGAGGAACAAAGCGTAGCCGGCGGCTCAAGGATGCCAACTGTTCAGACCATACCTGATGTACCTGATTCGCAAAGCTATGAAAGTTTGGTCACGATACCATCAGAGTCAACGCTAAGCACAATTAAATCAAATGAAGACTTCACGATGCCTGTAGACGTCGAAATATTCAACCGAGGAATAGCAGCTATTCGTGTTTCGCCTATAGATTTAGGTAAGGTTAAAAATGTTCACTATCCTGAAAAAAGTGCGCTGAAATCGTCGAAGGTGTACGAAGAAATCTTTTTAAATTAGACGCTAAAACAGAAAAAGCAAACGAGTTTGATGAAGTCATAGAAAATATGAAAATTAAATTTTTAAATTCAGCCACAAGGCAAGAAAAACTATCAATTTTATCATTGTTGCCAAAATCATGGTCAGTACAAAAAATTGTAGACGAATTTAAAACCAGTAGAAATATGGCATCAGATGCAAGAAAGGAAAGAGATAATGTATTTGATTCATCTCAAGGTTCAAGCTCTGGAAAAGTTGTGTAAACAATAATTTTATATAAATACAGGAATAAAAATAAACTGATGATATCCAACATATCATGTTATTTTTTATTGCGCACAATCACCATCCCTGAAAAATAAGCTTAATTCGCTCTTTTGAATCTTGCTAATTGAGGAGCTTACATTTGCAGTTCTCAAAAAGGTGTATCTCGAAATCGAGTTGTCTCATCGGTTTGATGTCTGTGGCGATGTTCGGCAATAGAGAGAAAATATGCACAGTATAAACACATCCAGTTTAAATGGATTAAACTGTTAGGCGATATGCAAGAGTTGAATGCACATTTTCAGCACAACGCACTAAAAATCACTTGAAGAAATCATTGTTCCTGATAGTGGGATTTTGTAACTTGTTTTTCAAAATACTTTTAAGGCAGAGAATTTCACTCGAATCTTTAAGCTGTCAGTTTCATTTTAACTCAAAATTTTCCAATCTTTCCGAAAAAAATACTTTTGAAACTGGAAAAACACGGAGTACATTCGAAAAGGGCCAAAACTTATTAAGTTATCAAAAATAACAATATTAAATCAGTAAGAAGATATTACGGTGCATCTTAGAAAAATGTTACCGAAGTACTTTTTGTTTGCAAATTTGATGTACTTTCATAAAATTAGGGTGACAAACTTTTTTGACCTTTCTTAATAGCTTTTTTGAAAATTGCATTTTTTTAAAAAACAATTTTTTTCAAAGTAACCTATTTTTCTCCAGAACAACCTACTATGCACTATATAGCATTTTCAGTCAGCTATAACATAAGGATAATAAAAAAAATATTGACATGTCACTTTAAAGGGAAAATTTATATTTTAGTTCAAAACACAAATACCAAACTTTTTTTTTACCGTGCATATTTTTTCCATATAACACCAACAATTGTCTAAAACTTCGCCCAAGACACCAAACCAATCGGACAAACCGTTTCCGAGATACAATTTTTTGAAGATATCATGTGCATTTTTCATAGGCCCTTCTCATAAGTAAGGCTAGATTCAAAATGGCGAACCAAGTATGCAAAACGGCGTTTTTCTTCCCCAAAAACTTGTATGCAAGGTTTCATGCAAATCAAAAAAGATGAAAATTACTCGTTGCTTTAATGATATGGAACCGCTCTACTGTTTTTTAGCTGTGTAGGCAATAGATTAAAACACAGTTAGAAAACCATTATTTTCTCAATATTGAAAACAGGTCACCGTATTTTTTTTAAAATAATTCATATTCATTGACTCGGCGCAACCCTATGACCGTTTGTTTGAACGCTGATATTGAATGCTATTAAAGGTGAGCCAAATAAAATGAAAATGTATGCAATGACATCAACATTTTTGTTATGACAAACTCGTCAAAGCAATCGATGGAGT